GCCATCGAGCTCCTCGGGGGAATAGAATACCAGTTATGTTTTAAGCCTATTCTAAATTAAGTCACTATTTCAATGTTCTCATATTAAATATTAAACTGTGCCGTTGCAATCACAGTTATTATTTGTCTGACACGTCTCCCATGCGCAAGAGCAAAGAAAACCATAAAAACCGCACGCTGCTAAATCACTAGTGCAGTAAATAAATGCATATTTGGCTATTTAAAAAGCAAGGGCGGATCCAGAGGGGGGGTCATGGGGGTCATGACCCCCCCCCCCCCCCTGGGCTGGGTCCATCTGTACGCACTTCACAATCTGTACCCACTGTGACTTGACCACTACTATATGATGGAGGATGGTGGAATCCGGGAAAATCGAGGAAAACCTTCAAATTTCAAAGGCACGCACGATGTTTTTTTATGCATATTCACTGATTTCTCCGTCAATTGTGTTATTGTTTACTTAGACGTTGTAATTTTCACTAAAATGGATGAAATACAAAAAAAAATAACAAAAAAAAACCGACTTCAAAATCGAAAATGGAACTAAAAAGTTAAAAACATAATCCATTTTCGATTTTGAAGTCGGTTTTATTTTTTTTTATTAACCCAACCGATGTGTCGTCATTGTACACTTTTTACTTTCAATCTGCGCCCTTGAAGCTTTTTCAACAGCGCAAAGGTCATAACCGTGAAGATATTTCTGGCTCCACATTATAGTTAAAGCAAGGAAAACTAGTGACTCCTACGCAAGTATATTATCCTGCTTCATGGATGTCGAATCTTTGCTTGGGCGTTCTCCTTACCCCGAAAAGGAATTTGCCAGAATCGATGACTTCCTGGTCACACAAGCAGCAATAGTTTGAAGCTGATTTAGTGTCGCCGCACACGGGCCACACGTCACAGCCACAAACGCCGCCACGAGAAGCTAGAAGCGGCTACTAAAGTGGCTGATGCGAGCGACAGCGGCCAACTAAGGTAAGGGAGAGAGAGGTGGGGAATCGCGCGAGTGACGTGTGGCGGCATTTTGTATCGGCGCATCATGTGGCCGGTGCAGGCCACAAGAAGCGAGCAACGACGATGTGTAGCGTGTGTCGGCCACCGGCGTATCGTGTGTGGCGAGTCCATATAAAATGCATGAAAACTACAAGAAATATGCCGGCGGCGTTTTGTGGTTGTAGTCGGTAGCCCGTGTGCGGCGACACTTATTAACCATATTTTCTTTTGTTTTTAAAATTATTGCTCAGTCATTTAAACATACATTTTTTTGCTACAGACCGTTAAAACTTATAACACTAAGTTAGCCAATAAATGTGTCCGGAAGTATATTATATACATTTATTATTCCAACAGGTGTTCTATATTAAATAAATCATGATTGTATTGACGTTGTAACAACATAATGATTTGTAAATGTTGTTACATTATGCTTTTAATGTTGTGGAGTTTTTTTCGCTCGTTTTTCTCCGCAGCTAAAAAATATGTCCAATAACGAGTGGTAGGGAAAAAAAAGTTTGGACGATTCAAAAGTGTTGTACTATACATCCAATTTGAATAAAGATATATTGATTTCTGATTTCTGATTGATTTACCTATGACCATATAATTGATAAGTGACAAAACTGTTGCGACACAAAACTATCGCAAGGTCAAAACCTTGGTCCAAAGTAAGTATTACCCAAATCGGTAGGTAATCCACGGGCCATTATCATAACAAATGAGTCCGATGCGAGGCTGCTCTGATTGGGGCCGGCCGTGGGAGCCGATTGGCTCTCACGTGTGCGTCTCCACAAAAGAACATTCAACTTATCCCACAATACGCTGCTACATTTTTAAGCCTAACATCCATTCATGTGTTCAGTTGTATATCATTTTGTAAAGGCAATAAATTAGTAATGTGACCTTTCTGTTGATAAGTGACCTCCATATCCTTGCTACACCAGGGATTTTAACAAATTGTCTGCCCTGAATCCAGTCTAGAGGCTAATCTAGTCTATCATCAAAATATTGCTACGGATTTTTGGAAGATAAATGATTCCCCTATACGGAATGTTACAAAAATACAAATAAAGCTTGAACGGCGTTGAAGTACATTACATAAAGAGTCTTCTCTAATTTTCTTAAAATATTTGCATTAAGTTTTAACTTCTTATATAAACAGTTATTTTTAATGATTAATACAAATATCGATCATTTTAAGACACGACACTAGTTCGAGGATCATTTAAAAATAACTGTTTTCATAAAAAGTGAAAACTTCATTCAAATATTTTATGAAAATTAGAGAAGACTCCTTATATGATGTACTTTAACGCCCTTCAAGCTTTTTTTGTATTTTTGTAACACTCTGTATAGGTATATGTTACGATTACCGAACAAACCCGATTTTAGGGAAAACAACTTTTCCTAGGCCAAACCACTTCATCCTTTAGGCAGAAGGATAAACTGATTCGTCCTATGGCTGATAGAAGAAACTAGTTTAACCTAAGCTGAACTAGTTGAACCTAATACTGATAAACTGATTTTAACTACGATATTTGAAAAACCAAACTCAAATATTCACACGTCTTGATACGTAGTTATCCTAGGGTTACCAGATTGAGAATTTAAAATTTCTGGACAATATTATAAAATATCTGGACATTAGGATTTTTGACTGGACAAAAAAAATCAGCATGACTATAAAAAATTCTTAGTATTACAAACAGACGAACCTTAATTAAACAAAATTAATATGAAATAACTTTTTTGCCACATACATTAATCAGCATTATTATATTTTATTTTTACTATTACAAAACAGAGGAACCTTAATCAAACAAAATTAATATGAAATCACCTTTTCTGCCACATATATTTAGCATTTCCTTTAGCCGCATTTATCATTTTAGAACCGTTACCTGTATTTAGAAAAGATTTAAATTTAGTACAAGTTTCGTCAAAGTTCAATCGAATTATTGAATTCAATCCCGGGCATAGGTAGCAAGAGGCCGCAGCGGAGCCAGGGTTTTTAATTTTCAGCTTCATTTTAGCTGGACATTTTACCTAATACCGGGACACTGGACAAAGTGTGAAATAGCTGGACAATCCAGCCAAGTCCAGTCAATCTGGCAACCGTAAGTTATCCTGTCTGAGACCTACTAGGACCTAGCGATTTTTTTTTTCTAGAAAAAAATTCTTTAAATATATAAATTAAGCAGTTTAATGCATAAAATAATAATATAAAATATTATTATCCCTTTAAAAGCCCCAATTAGCAATGCTGACTATCGCTAATTAAAGTTAAAATATGTCATGCCTGGCCTTGGTAAAATTCTGTCCGTTGAAACAACAAAAAAGTGTTTCAATAAATAGGTATTACCTACACAAAAAACGAGAAATTGTAAAATGATATCATTAAAATCAACAACGATATCCATTGGTCGTTAATAATGCACGATGTTTACAACTGTGTTAACCTTATGTTACATAGAGCGCGGTGAGTTATGTGCCATTAAACTTGGTGGCTTAAGGGATCCCGCACACTAGACAAACATATTTGATTAATTTACTAAACCTGGCATATAGAAAAAGAATACAGAAGCAGGAGTTCAAAATTCATAGGGCGGTTGACGTGCGAGATTGCACTTAGGAAAAATGTCATTGTTACACCCACAAAAAATTTACATGAAACAATGCTTTATCTTTTCATTTTTTTAAATAGGTAGTGCATTATACCGCCGAACATGATATCGATATATATAAAACTCAAAGGTGACTGACTGACATAGTGATCTATCAACGCACAGTCCAAACCACTGGACGGATCGGGTTGAAATTTGGCATGCAGGTAGATGTTATGACGTAGGCATTCGCTAAGAAAGGATTTTGATCAATTCTACCCCCAAGGGGATAAGATAGGGAATGAAAGTTTGAATGAAACTTTGTCAATTTTAAACCGATCGGGCTGTGACTTTGCATGCAGGTATAAGAAGAATCATAGATGAATGTCATTGTGTATAATACAAGCCTGAGAACAAAAACTGTAGTCTACACTTCAGCTCTACACCGAAGCGAAGCGAGGGCGGGCCGCTAGTTAAGTATAAAAGAAGTCCAGCCAGAAAGACAACTGATACTGAAGTGGCAGAAAAGAGTGCCGCTCCAGCCATCCCTACTCACCTTGTCATCATCATTATACCTGTCAGCCGTACGATACCCATTGTTAAGCATAGGCCTCCGAGTCAGTTTAACGTTTTTTCTGCGTACGTACGTACGTAGTACAAGGCTAGGCTAAGACAAATAAAAAAGAAAACTCGTATAAAGGATTTTTATGTCATATCGCCATCGATCAGAAGGTCTGTATTACAGAATGACAACTAAGTGTTGATCTTTACTTGAGTACAGTTAGAAAGGGATATCGCTATGTGCTATATATAGCGACATTCCTTTCTAACTATGCTCAAGACTAGATCAATCACTGAGAATCTTTCTATAATACGGGTCTAAGTCTTAGTAACACTGTTTCCACAACTCGACACCATTGTGCCTATTTTTGTAGAGAGTAGAGAGGAATGGCATCAGTCCTGCCATCCCAGCTCCTCCAGACAGCCCAGCTGTCCCCGTGTGTCGGTGAATTTCCCAGTTGGGAAGTCCTCTGTTTTGCAAGAAATTTATAAAATCTGATAATTTTCATTGGTTTGGCAAAAATTATGCACACTTTTGAAGTTCTCATGGCGAGTTCAATGGACCGCATAATATGGGCTTGCCCAGCATTGAAAGAGAAACGTTCAAGTTAACCTTTTCATAATGATAAATTACGAATATTTGATGTTTGGCGACTCTGTAAGATAAAAAGACATGATATGCTGTTCAAAAATCTAGATTTCTGTTTTACGTAGCAGCCAGTTCCCGGAACAACTGTTAGGTAACAGCGACACATCAAATAAATTTTTTATCCCGGATTCGAAGATTTGGTATGCATAATGTCCTGCGTGGGTTCAAATAACAAATTCAATAAAAAAAAGTTTCAAGTCTTATTCTTTTAATTATGCATTCTTAACAGAAAGCACAAACTTACATATTTATATTTCATTAACATTCAAATAATTACATTTACACATTATTCTCTCCTAATTTATTAAACAATATAGGTTCTAGTCAGCACCAATAACTCTTCTAATATCCGATCGTTTTGTTTTAACCTTAAAGAAATACATTTACTTTTGAGAATATTACAATCATTCAATATAATTGAATCTGTCATTATTTTTACAGTTTCACTGTCCTCAACTAGGGACCCCATTTTTGCGACCAATGTTAAACATTGTCTTTTCGTCAAACATTTAATAGCTCTTTTAGAAAACAGATTATATTTTCTTATATAGTTAACCATGTCATCAGCATCTAAACCATGAGTGTGTGGTAAAAGATCGTATAATATTATTAGTAATTCGTTTTCTACATCTTTATTAATTTTGAATTCTCCTAATCTACTACCGTTTTTGGGAAGAGCTAAATGCTTTGAATAAGAATTAATTTTAACACTATAAATCATGTTTTCTATAATATTAAGTAGGGCGTTCACTAAAATTTTATCATCCTTTCCGATTTGCCTCACAATTGCGTGCAACCAAGACATAAGACCGTATCCTTCTAGAAGTATCTCAGATGCTCTGGGAACCGCGATCACAGAATTAATGGCGCTCAATATTTTCTCCTTCACTTTTCTATCACACAGAACTGAGGAGTAGAAGTCCATGATCATTTTCAAGCACATGGTTTTGAACACAACGTTGATATCCATCATTGTTTTAGTTCCATCTCTGATAATGTCCAGTATCCAAAGACGTCTATCTACGGCTTCTACGTCGCTATCATGAAATAGCGTTAGGAAATCTGGGACTACGGTTAAATCCACCGCTTGCTTAGCTATAAAGAAGTTGTTCACAGATTTATAAAGCGGATGGGCAGAAGCCGTTGACACCGTTAGAGCTCTTGCGAGGTACAAAGCGTCTATCGCTGGTATTCGCGGATTTTTTGGGTTGTTCGATCCACCGTTCCCATTTGATGAATTATCGATAGCGGTACTCAAGCTCTGTCGGAGTGTGTTGATGAAATCGGTGAGAAGAAATTTGTCGTTTTTATGTCTCCTGTAAACAAAAGATTTCTTAGAGAACTTAAAGAGTACTTACATAGTAGCATATATTATTTTGATAATGCAATTTTTTTAAAAAGAAATTTCTGACGTATGGGACAAAAATGGGACAATTATTTTACGAGTGTTCTATACTCAGTTTAAAATTCTCTATCGAATGGTATATTTGAAATATTGATATATTGCCTAAATAGTTCGATAAGACCCATTTTTTATACTCTAAACACGTTTTTGTGTAAAAAAAGGACTTTAAGGGTCTGGTTATCCAGACTTAAGGTCGTATGTAACACCATATAAACAAGTAATAGGGCATCATTGATAAACTATATCGTCGACCGTAATATCAATGGACGTAAGGGATAAAAATGAGATATTTTATTTTCTTACCTTACTACACTCATATTATACATTTTTTTTTTCTAGTAAACTTTTCTTTAGATTTAAACATCTAGCAGTTAAATGCTTAAAAATAAATAAAAACATTACTACACTCAGTTTAAAATTCTTTGATATCTTGCATAATTTGTTCGTTACGACCCAGTTTTTTATTTACTATAAATACGTTTTTGTGTAGAAAAAGCCAGTAGTAAGGGACAGAAGTGGTTCAAAAGGGGAGGTCGTAAGGGACTTTATTTAATCAGATAAACAATTTAGATTCATTTCAATAATTACAGGTTAAAGAACTCTACAATTTATGCATACCTACTTCCCTTTGCCATGATCAGCGTACAATATAAAAAGTTACAGCTATTTTTTTAAAAAAGAAACGTTTTTCGCCTCTACTGAAAAGTAATTTTGTCCCTTATGCCAATTAAAATTGCGGTCGAAGATATGTTATTCAAATCTCAGCAATATTATTCAGGATTTATACACCTAATCAACAATACAACATCAACAGATTGTGATAAGAGTGTACCTATATTAAAAGATTGAGAATGCTTGGCGAGACTCAGATGAGGGTCCAAAATATCAAGTCTTATGAAAAATATACACGCTTTCTATCTAAAATTATTAGAATTAAAATAAAACTAGTTTTAACGGGTTAATGCACGAACTTTACTTTATTTATTGACGTTTCGCAGCCTTTTCGACGATGCAGACCTGAAAAGGCTGCGAAACGTCAATAAATAAATAAAGTTCGTGCATTAACCCGTTAAAACTAGTTATATTTTAATGAGTAATGTCATAATGTGCGTGAAAACTTAAGAAACAGATATAAGAATTGCTTTTCAATATGGACTATTAGAACTCCGCCGTTGCCGGTCCCAAGCCCGGATGAGAAAGGAGGAGGGTTTGTGTGGAAGAGACCTACCCAACTGTAAAATTGTCAACGTCGAGTATCGGGCGACGGTCAATTAACCCGACCCTTCTGTGATAAACAGAAAGGCTTCTACAAGCCTGGAGACACTAAATACTCTCCAAAATAGTAAACTCGCCAACCCGCAGTGGCTAGCGTGGCGTTTCAAGGCCATTTACCCTCCATGATGAAGAGACAAAAGAAAAGATGGCCCTCAGTCCCCAGCCGTCTTGTGAGGCCCGACTACGGCAGCAGTCGGGGGACCTGCAAGACAGAGGGTGCGAAGAATCCCTGGGTTCGAGACGGCTGCTTAAATAAAACAATAAACTTGGCAACGTATAATGTGAGAACACTTATGACGGAAGACCGATACTACGAATTGGAAAACGAAGTTCTAAATAAAATCAATTGGGATGTTATTGGGCTAAGTGAAACGCGGCGGAAAGGTGAAGAACTTATCAAGCTAAGATCTGGTCATCTCTTCTATTATAAAGGTCACGAAAACAAGTCGATTGGAGGTGTTGGTTTCATTATTAACACATCTTTAACCAAAAATTTGCTATCAATACAGGCCGTATCAGTCAGGGTTATATACGCTGTATTTAGACTTACCTCCCGTTACACTCTTAAAATAATACAGGTATACGCACCGACATCGACGTGTGACGAAGAAGAGTTGAATGAATTCTACGAGGACGTGAATAAAGCACTTGGACAACACTCCAGTTACTTTACAATAGTAATGGGCGACTTTAATGCAAAATTGGGGAAAATGAAGGAGCATTCAGAGTATGTTGGTGGTTATGGGCTGGGCCGTATTAATCACAGGGGCCTCTCTTTACTAAATTTCCTGCAACAACAAAAACTATATGCTTTAAATACCTTCTTTCAGAAGAAACCGCAGAGACTGTGGACATGGAGGAGCCCGGACGGCCGAACGTTTAACCAGATCGACTACATTCTATGCAATAGGAGGTGTATAGCCCGTGATGTTGATGTACTCAATCAAGTTGGCACAGGAAGCGATCATAGAATACTGCGAGCTAAAATTTGTTTAAATGTGAAAACAGAGCGTCGCAAAATGGTAATAACATCACAATCAAAACCTAATAATAACTTTGTGCAAGCCCAACAGGAATACTATCAGGATATGCTAAGGACTACACTTTCTGCCGATGAGACATGGAATGTGGACGATATAAACAAGGAACTGGTGAAATCTATTTCTGACACTATAAAGAAAATAAGACCCAACACTTTAAAGAAGGAAAATACCCTCTCAAAGGAAACACAGCTTCTGATTGACGAAAGAAACAACTTACTCAGGTCTTCCAAACATGACAGAGTAGTGGACATTAACAAGCGTATAAGAAAAGCAATTAGAAAGGATTTGAGGCAAAAGAATTACAATACTGCCCTAAAACTAATCGAGAGCCATCGTGGACCGAAAATCTTTCGAAAAATACTAAAAAGGGGAAACAAAGAAATAAATAAGCTTAAAACAATCTTGGGGTTAGTTACCTCCGACAGAGAAGAAATTATGAAGACAGCACACACATTTTATTCTGATCTTTACAAATCTTCAAAACTGGAACCATTTATGGATAAAAAGGACCCAAGGGCGAAGTTAATAAAACATCGAACAGAAGACCTCCCTGAAATAAGCTTATATGAGATAAAGAATGCTCTAAGAAAAATGAAAAATAGTAAAGCATCAGGGGAAGATGGGGTACTTACAGAATATCTTAAGTATGGTGGCAAACCAGTGATGAAGCAACTGCAGCTCCTTTTCAACAAAGCATTGTTCGAAGGAATGACTCCAACGACGTGGAAGAATGCGGTCGTTATTTTGCTCCACAAAAAAGGTGATGTCACCAATTTAGCAAATTACAGGCCAATTTCGTTACTCAGTCACATATACAAGCTTTTTACCAAAATAATCACTCTGCGTCTTACTGCTAGACTTGACGCTTACCAACCTAGAGAACAGGCGGGCTTTAGATGTGGCTTCTCAACAATTGACCACGTATTTACAGTAAGACAGGCTATAGAAAAGTGCAACGAATATAATCTGCCAGTTGTCCTTGGTTTTGTCGACTACGAAAAAGCTTTTGACACTGTGGAACATTGGGCCGTCATAAATGCACTTAAAAGGAGTCAGGTAGATACGAGGTATATCGATGTACTTAAAGAGATTTACAATGCAGCCACACTTCAACTCAAGCTCCATGATCTATCGGAACACATCCCTGTAAAGAGAGGCGTACGACAGGGGGATACCATCTCACCCAAACTGTTCACGGCATGCCTGGAAGATATATTTAAGCTCCTCGACTGGTCGAATAGGGGTATCAACATAAACGGAGAGCGCTTAACTCACTTGCGATTCGCTGATGACATAATAGTCTTTGCTGAGACCACAGCGGACCTGCAATGTATGTTGCTGGAACTATATGACGTCTCGATAGCGGTTGGCCTCCGCATGAACACCTCAAAAACAAAAATAATGTGTCAAGACCCAAGTATAGAAAACATAGTAGTAGCAGAAAATCGTATCGAACGGGTGGAAGACTATTTGTATTTGGGGCAGCTCATTACACTCGACAAAAGCGGACAGGCTAGAGAAATCGACCGTCGTATTAGACTGGGTTGGGCAGCGTTCGGCAAATTATCCGACATCTTCAAAAGTAAGATACCACATTTCCTCAAACGTCGCGCATTCACCCAATGTGTTCTTCCTGTTCTGACTTATGGAGCCGAAACCTGGACTATGACAAGGCAACATGTCCACACCATGCAAGTCGCTCAGAGAAAAATGGAGCGTGCCATGCTCGGTATATCCCTGAGAGATCGTGTACGCAATGAGGACATACGGAAACGAACAAAGCTACCCGACATTGCTCGCGAACTCGCAGGGAAGAAGTGGAGGTGGGCAGGTCACGTGGCTCGCAGAACGGATGACAGGTGGAGTCGAGCTATTGTGGAGTGGCGGCCTAGAACAGGACGCAGAAACGTTGGTAGGCAGCCCGCCAGATGGTCCGATGACATCACAAGAGTAGCAGGACGAAATTGGATCCAGATCGCACAACACCGAGCAAATTGGCGCACCATGGAGGAGACCTATACCCAGCAGTGGGTGGATAAAGGTTGAAGAAGAAGAAGAAGAAGATGGACTATTAGAATTGCTTTTCAAAATGGATAGTGAAGAACTATTTATACAATTTCATGCAGTTTTTATCGATTGATCAAGTAGAAATTCACTCACGTTTCAGTTTCAAGCAGCAAACAGAACCGATGCAGCACGTGGTACGCGGACGCCCTCATCATCGGGCACTGTGAGCTCAGCGCCATCACTGGCACGGACAGAAGCCCCGTGCGCAGCAGCTTGAAGCACGACGCCACCGACCCCGGCGCCAGCAGGTGACCCAACAACGGGAATAGGAACACTGGATCGTAGACACCGCAGTCCTCATCCAACTGCGATAAACCCACCACATCTCCATCCACACCAAGCGCTTTCTCATACTTTGCCTTCGACAATAAACTTTTGATCGCAGTCTCGTTATCTTTCGCTACTTTCACTTTAAACATATTCTCCCGAGCCATGTTATTGAAAGCTTCCTTTAAAGAACACCAGTCGATAGCAGCCAATTCGTAATGATATTCAAGTTTTTGTGTCACGGGGAAATTCCTCACAGTATTGTCTACTACATCTCTTTCGAACAAGTTCAAAACTCGATTAGGGGTGGGATGTCCCCATAGAGAAGACGTTCTGCTCTTACGAACAGCGTAATGATTTGCAGCTGAATCTCCAAAAACGTAAGGTTTGTATTCGTTCACAGGCTGACCGTTGCTTTCGTAAAAATGTAGAATGGATAAAACTAATCTGTCGCATGGACTACGTGTCGCGTGATACGAACTTAAATACACGGGGATTTGCTGCGATTTCATGACCGATTTATTCAACTGTATCAAAGTATGCAAGAATTCTAATAGCCTCGATTTTATATCAGGACTGTGATGACTCAACATCACATTTAGAAATTCGGAATGAGATGTCACCATATCGAATAGTGTCACGATATCCTCGTGCTCAGTTGTATAAAACAACTTGACTAGTTTCGTCAGCAAATATAATAGATGAGGACCAGCTGTACTAGTTTGTGGTGCAGTTTTTACTTTTAACGAATCTTTTAAGACATATTTACAAAAATTCTGCCATACTGCACTCTCAGTAACTTTGTTGAAATCTTCTTTTTGCTCCAATTTAAATGCTTCTATGGATTCACAGACATATATGACATCGTTTATACTTAGTACTAATTCAATTACAGTTTCTGTTTCTTTGTTATCTTTCAAAGCCAATGAGATTAAGTGAAGCATGGATGAAATATAGTTAACCAGATATTCTTTTTTATGGTACATCTCATTTAAACACATTTTCAGAAAAATTGCCTGCAGTAAATTAACATGAGGAAGTTCAACTACTTCGTACTTTTGAGTTTTACCGAAATGTTTCTGACATTCTTTTGTATCCATACATTCCACTATTAATTTTTTAATGAAGTCGGAGCAAGCAATGTATATCTGTCCAGCTTTATGAGGCTTTTCTAATATTTTATTAATGTTTGTTTTATATTCTTGAAATATAAGATTAAACAACTCTATATTATCTGTAAGAAATTGTTTGTTACCCATAACCGCATTTCCTAGAGGCAAGGTCAATTCTCTCTGAGATAAGATTTCCGGACGGCTAACTTGGCTTTTGAATATGTTACATAATCTCAAATTATGCTTTATTAGTATTGAAGCAAGATGGGACGTAGACTTTTGTACGGAAACTGCACTGAAGAATTTTTTAAATATCTCTTCATTTACATACATAGTATGATGTGGCTTATTTTCAAAATGTTGCGCCAACGCACATTCTAAATCTGTAAGGTTAGGATTAATATCTTTATTTGTCAATAGTTCTGTATACAATTTTACACTTTTCCTTATTATATGTTCGGGAGTATCCAACATTACAGATTTTGAATATTTTTGTATCAAAATTTGCAAGACATCTAATACAAAACTCGGTACTTTATCATTTTTCATACAGTACTTTACATCCAATGAAAATATCCTATTGAAAATCTGCAAATCATCCTCATATGTCATACCGATAATGTCTAAAACCTTCACCGTAAGTTTACTATCCAAGTTTCTCCTTTTATCGATTTTATTCAAAGCTTTCATAAGTTCAGCATAATTTTTTTGTTGAAATGATTTCAATATTTTATGTTCCTTGTTCAAATACTTTATTAAGTCATCATGCAACATCATAATTTCAAGTAGAAATTCTGTAACCATTAATATGCTGGCATTTTCTTTTAACATAATCGGTTGGTATATTTTAATTAGATGGGGATTTTTGAACAGTGATATCAGGATTGCTCGACATTCACCAATCATATGTCTTTTTTTACCAATGTTAATAATACATAGGAAACAATTTCTTATTTTCTGTATTTGTTCCTTATCTAACTTTTCAATATTTGTCAAACGTATTATACAGAATAAAAGGTAGTTAGCCCAAACATGTAACTCTGAACTATCGATATGAGTAAACAAATCAAGTTTGTAAACAACGTCATCAATAACTATGTCTCCTTCTTCTTCCGTAGTATCTTTAAGTGCCTTAAAAATTTGTGTCAGTGGTAATTCTTCCTTATCAATAACGTATTTTGATATATTAAATAATGTTTCATCTTTAACTACTATACTTTCCGGCAATGATGTCGGCTGTACGAGCCAATCAATAACGTAGCTCCGCGTATTCAATTTCAAGTCCCCAATTAAAGTCTCAGTTAACTCAGGTGAATAATTAATATGAAAAAGATTAGCTATGTATACAGACAGAAATTGTTTTAAATTCCGTTTGAGTTTGTTGCTCTGAACATATTGCACACACCCTAAAATAATAGGAGAAGGTGCTTTGCTATCCAAAAATAGACTATCTTCTGTGTTACGGTTTTCCATTAAGTCATCAAATAATTTCTTTAGATATTTCTCACTGTTTTCATTTACATTTTCAATATTTTCTGTGTGCGTTTTTACTTCAAGAGCCAATTCCTTAAGATTTGTAAGGACATATTCAATAATATCAGCAATTAATGATATTGGGCTTGTTAAAGAATTGCGCAAAGAATATAGAAATATATGTATTTCATTTTCATCAGCTTCAAAAATTAATGTATTTTTTAAGAAATTATAAAGTGTGTTTTTAACTTCCACCCATGTCTCATTTTCATCAGTTGTATAAACCTCTAACATTATGATAAACAAGTCTTTGAATATGGGATTATTATGTGATATAACAGAACTATCCAATGTTAACCATAAAGACACGATTTTGAACTTAAGAAGTGCAACATTTCCTTCTTCTAAAGACGAGGAGAAGTTCAAAATCTGTTTCATGTCGATATTCCCTTCTAAAATTTCGAAAAATGATGGATGAATGTCATTATACAACAACAAAAGATCTGTGAGAAGTAGCAATGACTCAGTTGTTTCAACTTTAGGAAGTTTATAGTCATTGGATTTCTCTTCAGACGCAATGTTATTAGTAACAATATGTTGAATCAATGAAGCAATCACTGTTGGAGGAGGCAAATGCTTGGGTAAAAAATAATCTAATTTATTTTTTAAATCCAATATTCGTGTCAAGGACTCCTCTGTGCTCATAATATCCATGTATCCCTTCAATGTTTGTAGCATTTTTACTAATACTCTTATGCAGTATAATGAAATCGTAGTGTCATTACCAAGGTTGTTTTGAATGAATTTTAATAATGGAACTGGCAATGTGACAAATCTAACAAAATTTGCAGCTTGTGATGAGTTCAGATTATTCATTCTTGGAGCTATGTCGTCTGGTTTCATCTTATCTAATAATTTTATAGTAAACTCTACAGTTGCTTTCCAAATGGGAGAGTGTTGAGGCTCAAAACTCTGTTCTACAATATTCATTATAGCTCTATGTAAGTCCGGACATCTGTTAACAATTTGTAGTATTGTGTCACATTCAACTTCATTTTCCCAAGGCCTTTTTAAAGTTAACAATGCCTTATATAAATTTAAATTTTTATTTACATCAGATGTTCCAAAATTACTGTCTACAAAATAAATTCCCAATTTATGTGAAGTAAACAAGGTAAGAATAATATCTGACAAAAGTTTTGTTATTTCAGGACGCATCTCATTTCGGGCTTCTTGGTTTAATTCTGGGGGTCCTTTCCACGCAAAGAGTTTAAAAATATTATGCAAAACTTGATGACTAAAAGTTTTCAGCTTCAAACTTTTCGAAATAAAAGAATTATTTACAACATTCTTGTTCAAAATATTCAAGAACATAAGCACAGCTTCGGCTTCATCTTGTACCAGTCCAGGTATTACTAAGGCAAGCAACCCTTGCTTTTCCAACAATGCTTTTATGAGAGGCAAATGACCTTCAACGAGGAAAGAAGTCATGAAGTGTACAAATGCTGTCCTTACATTGTCTTTCTCTTTGTAATTAGTCTTTTCTACTATATATTGTAGATGTTTGGGTGAAAGAGGTGCATGACTCAGGACCTCGACACCTAGATCTGGATTGAGAGTTACCATTGAAGTGAGAAGTTTAAGTATAATTTTTCTATGCCGAGGACCAGAGTTCTCACTGATCATAATTTCTACAGTTGTCATGAAATTATTTAGAAAGTATCTACAAGCTTCTTCCGTTATGGCAATCATGTGTGGAATGGAAGACTGGACTTTGAGAATGATGAGGTGAAACAGATGGAAGGCAGGAGTAGCGAGGGTAAGGTTCTTCTTGTTGTCTTCGTTGATTTGGCAGAGGATCTCGTGAGAGTTGCCTCCGGACTTGAGGTACTCCAGCAAATAGTCACACTCATTATCAGGATTTAAGCAGGCTTGGAGAAATTGAGTGAGAACTGGAAAACAAATAAAGGAATATTTATACACTATATTATGTTAACTTAGTAATTTATGTATATATATTTTTTATAAAATCTCTACCTTAGAAGTTAACAATGAGAAAAATCATTGTAAGTATTTTTTCTGTGAAGTTGTAGGACAGTAAATTTTTACTATTATGCTTTAAATCAAAGCACATTGGTTTTTATTTCATACTAATAAAATACACTGCTTTTGTGTATTTAAATATAATTTACATACATAATCTTATTACACACATCTATTGCTAAAATATATATAGTGTAATATTATTATATTATCAGGCCTTCCTTTTGGGCATAATCATCTAAACATGCCGCATTGGGTGTGAAACAAAGAGCTCTAGGCAATATAATTATTTTTTTATGTCACCCATCCAAAGATCAGCCATTACGAAAGTTGCTTTACTTCCACAATTGCAGACCAAATGCACTAACCAATTGCGCCAATGTTCTCTTGCCATATAAGTATAAAATACAAAAACAAGAGACTAAAATATCTAATCACGAAAAATTCACCTGGCAAAAGTATGTGGCTGAAATATATTAATAGGACTAATCACTTTTTCGTAATTTTTTTGGAACTGAATCCTCCTGAGTTGTACTTTGGTAGCCTGAGCCTTTGGTACCTGTGTAGTTTTGTGCCTTTGTAATCGACTTTCTGTAGTTTACGACAAGGGAACGGGACTGTTGGCCTTTACACAGATTATTTTATAATCTAGCTAGGGCTCAGTGTGACTATGTCAGAAAACTCTTATGCTTTACTATCACCTACTTTATAAGTTAAAAAGTATCTACCTAGTAACTTTAACCCTTAAGAATGCGCCATACACTCGGCTTTCATAATCATTAATGAAAATTAGTACTGAAGGGGGCTACTTTTGCTCAAATCGGGCTTCAAAGACAGCGAGGTATAAATTCTTATGAAAGGCTAATTTGATTTAAACAATTTTCTTGGCCATTTTATCACACTAGTGGTGGTTAGCAGAAACCTTTTCAACAACAATAATGCAAAGTTTCACCCAACAAAACTGTGAAGTTTATACTTTTCGGCCCTGGAAGTACAGTATATCCCAAACAAGTCCTTACTATCTGTTAATAAGTTCCTTAAGTAAAGGCACTGTCTTTGCCGGTTATTAAATAGTTGTGGTGTGGTTTCTAATTAAAAACAAATACACTATTTAAGATAAAATTTGTTGTTCAAAGAAACAATCAGGTTGATAATTTGTTCCTTATTTTTTACAATCAATAGGATTGTTATTTAGTGACTAAAACTTATGTATTATATTTAATATTTTGCAAACATTGTCTAAGTAATCTCGATTTAAGATAAATTATTCAGGGTTATTGTTACATTTAAGGCATGTTATGATGTTCCTGGCTACAAAAACTTTTGCTGACACCCAACAATCCACATTGTAAACTCGTTATGCTTTTTATGGCTAGAAGCCCTGTAACCACTGGGCTAGTAAGGTCTAGATTGACTTGAACAATATAAATAAATAAAATAAATAAATAAATATTTCCAACACTCACACCAATTACCCTAGTTCCAAAGTGAGCACTGTAAGGCTTGTGTTATGGGATACTAGGGTAATGGATAGAATGAATATACAGTATATTTATATAGAAATACATATTAAACATCCATGACTGAATTGCAAATGCTCGTATTCATCACACAAAACATTTGCCCCCACGACGACAGTCGGCGACACCATGAAACCATAAAATGATATTAGTATGTACTACCAAATACTTACCCATAGTCTGTCCCTGTTTACCGGTCAACTCTTTTCGAAAATGTTTGACATCAAAACCCCCCATTTTAGGCCTTTTCTCCCGTTTATTATCAGTTTGTTGTCGGGTTTGAGGTTGTTCTGTGTTACCACCTTCATTGCCCTCCGAATTTGGGACTTGCTGTGTTTCTTTTGCCACATCCTCTTTCTCGTATTTACGTTTTCCCATCACACATGAATTAAAAATAATAGCAAAACGACCGAATTATGTACGAAACAAATTAAATCACAGTGAGTGAGACACGTGAGATTGTTTTGTTTTTTTTTTTTTTTTTAGTTCTATTCTTCTCTATTGAGAAAGGCAAAGGCATAGCCATGCAGCCATCGTCTTATTTTTGTATTAATCTTCCTTTTTTTACATTAGAATGTGGGTGTGACGCATTCTAATGCTTCTTGGAGTGTTTGGCACGAAATATATCGAGTTGGCTTTTTCGATAAGCTTCTGTGAGGTAGTCAACACTACAATAAAATTCTCACGTCCACTTGACCGGAATAGCGTATATTTTAAAGATTCCACTAATTCTTCAGTTGCGCAGACGGTTGTAACACAAAATCACACCAATTTTATTTCACAATATCCACTATGAACAAATTTAAGAATAATTAAAATAAGACGCCAACCGCACTCGATGAAATCCCGCCAAAAACTCCGAGATTGTTTTGACTTTTCTAAACTTGACATTTCTAATCTGGCATTTGTTTTTTTCTATGTTCAAGATACAAATTACATACAGCCACAGAGTACATAGTTTTTAAGTAACGAAATGAATGATAAAATGGACAATTACTACAGGACCAATAGAATTTTCAAAAAATCACCTTGTTTTTTACAAAATAAAGTTCATTTACGTTTTAAGATATAAAGAAGACAAAACAGGGCAGAGTAAGATTGTCACAACAGAGGCCCTTTGTCTCACTCTAACAACATAACAGCCAAAAAAATATCAGTAATGCAAGGCTCGAGTCACAAACCAATATAAATAAATCCTAAGTAGCTTTCCAATTACAGTATTATAGCGCATTATGCGGCATAATGCTTAACGTTGAGTGTTTCAACTACAGCAACGCTACGCACAATCGAGCACTCTCAAAAGTAAGGGTGCGGCCAGAGTGCACTCAGATTCAGATTCTGAAAACAAGCGCGAGAAATAAACAGTGTAGTCTAAGCAGGTTGCCTGCTTTTTCTCGCGCTTTGTTTTCTGAGTCTGAATCTGAATCAGGAGTGCACTCTGGCCGTACCCTTCGACTACACTGTTTATTTCTCGCGCTTGTTTTCGGAATCTGAATCTGAATCTGAGTGCACTCTGGCCGCACCCTAATGCTTTCGTGTGATGCGTGCAATCATACCAACTCAGAGACAGAAAATTGACAAGTGTTTTTTCTTTAAGTTGGCATTGATCGAAATGTTTTATTTATATGTTATCGTTAGTAATATTAATTATTGTTGAAAAATTATTAAAACTTTCGTTTCATCATAGTTTTTTTTTTAAATAATCATAGTTAATTCAAACTGTGTTAAAAATTAAATATAAATATGGATGAAGGTACAAACATTGACTTTTTTTTTCAACACTGAACTTAGCGCACTCTGCTGGTGCATTTGAAAACTAATTCACGTTCAAATTAAGCATCAACATAAGTCGCATTATGCTCTTTAATTGGAAAACCACCATAATCGTCATTTTACCTCACAATGAAGAAGCGTCGTGTCCTCATTACTAAGATTATGTCTAATGGGTTGACGCATAAGATGTTCACGCGCTATCTTTTCTATGTTTTGTGAACGCACAGAATATCATTCAGCACGGCCATTAAGGCCGCGGTAGCATAATAATTGGTCAGTGCAGCCGCCCGGACAGCGGAGGGTGCGGGTTCGAGTTCAGTTTGCTGCCTGTCTTTAGAATTAACACCTAGCAGTTAAATGTTTTAAAAAAACATAACTGATGCTTTTAACTTTACGTGTGAAATTACTTTGCCTAAAAAAAGTAAAACTCTAGCAGCTAAATGAAATTAAATAAAACGCGTTCCAGTTTTTTTACACTATTTACTATCAACAGCATACATTTTACTGTTACCTATATAAGCGATAGCGAATTTGATTCGCAAACATTTTATCTTAATAATAATCTTAAACAGGTATTTACTTTGTAAGCACAACCTAATATTTTGTCAACATTATGTCATGTAAAAACATTTTATAAAGTTTTTATCTTGATTCTCTCAACTTCAAACTAAATTTAAGATCAGTCTCTCCTCTTCATTTTGTATAGAGAATAACAAAGATAGACTGTTGTCAAATTTAAGTCAATCTTTAGAGATAAATGCCAGAATCGACACCATTATTGATTTAAAAGTCAATAATCTAATATGCTTAACAATAAAGGGATTCTTATCAAATAGGAACATCGTGATTGGAAAATGCAGGACCGGATTTAAGGCACGGCATGCGGAGCTTTGGCCCCCACAACAGAGATAAATTATGAAAAGGCGACGGTGGAAAAAACAACGAATACACCAAGAAATCATTGTAAATTTTGACATTTCAAAACCCATTTTTATTTATTTACATGACGTAGGTTTAGCTCAAGAAGTTTGCCGCTTCCTATACCCGTTAACTAGCTTACGCTCATAATTTATAATTTCTTGTTTAGATAAGTAATAAGGAATTTTAGTAGTAACGAGAACCGTTTTTGAAGTGAAACTTCTTTATCGGCGTTGGAAAAAAATTTACCGTCACATTTTTATTCGGTTACGCGTCACGTTTTTTGGTTACGCGCCATCTTTTTTTTAAAAGAGCACTATTTACCTCATCCGAACAATTGCTTCTTCTGTCAACTTTAAAAAAAAAAAGTATCGACAGCAAATATTCGTGTTTCACACAAGGTAAGGTAAGGTAAGGTAAGGTAAGGTAAGGTAAGGTAAGGTAAGGTAAGGTAAGGTAAGGTAAGGTAAGGTAAGGTAAGGTAAGGTAAGGTAAGGTAAGGTAAGGTAAGGTAAGGTAAGGTAAGGTAAGGTAAGGTAAGGTAAGGTAAGGTAAGGTAAGGTAAGGTAAGGTAAGGTGTAGTTATACCCCTTTAGTGGGTGAGTTTTTGAAAAATCTTAGCGCACGCCTATATATATATTTCTGGAAAGTTGCATGTAGATCATTTTCGAAAAAAATAAGGCCATAAAGAAGTTTCACTTCTTACGTGTGTACACTAGTACACGCACACATTTTTTTTGAAGTGAAAACTTTTTAACACCGTTGTGATTTGAACTCTATGAAACGAAAATTTAAGACTATTTGACACAAGGTATCCGTAATTTTCTCTACAGGAGACAGATAGCCGAACGGTAACAGGATTGGGGTTGACACCAAATGATCGGTGGTTCGAACCTGAGCTCGGTTTTTTTTAAATGTTATTTTTTTTCTTTTATTAAGCTGTTTTTTTATTTTTGTTTTCTTTATTTGTCGAAACAATTTAAGTAGACATTAATTTTGCCCAGTATTTTGGGGGCTGTTCAAGTATTACGTAAACACTACAGGGGGGGGGGGGGGGGGGGGTCTAGATGGTGCTTACGTCAGCAATAGTTTATTTATTTTTTTACACAAATGGCAACCCACACATTGTCTATACTTGAAAACGAAACGCATTTTCGCGGTTAAAACGGCCCCTTACAGTACCTAGATATGAAGGATTTGTTTCACATTTTTGTAGGTTTCACTTTTTATCAATAAAAATGAAGTATGAAATGTCACAATTTACATTAAGGACCACTTGCACCAACATTCTGAATAAAAATAGAGATGAAGTTTAAACATATTTTGGCATCCAATAATTTTGATTTAAGAACTTTGGTGCAAATGGATCTATTAGTTCATATTAATTTAATAATATGACTGAACTGTAACTAATTATATTTATGCTACTAATAGAGAAAGATAATTTTATCTGATCATGTACATCTTCTCATCATCACATCTTGTGCTGTCATTACAAATTAATTAGATAACAATCCCAATAAATATTTAATTCGATCTTTAAACGACGAACACATAGGTAAATAAAGATAATGTTTAGTCTTAGCTTAGAACTTTAAATGCACACCGTAATTGGTTAAGGGCGTGCGCTGCGTTAAGCGGGAACACGGAGCGAACGCAGCGCACGCCCTAACAAAACTAGATTACTCTTAAATCCAAAGAAAACATTACTAGAAAAAATATCACGCGGACCAGGAATTTTTTCAAGTAATATTTGTCATGCTTAAATAATAAAAAATTATAACTAGATTTGCTTAAATAATGTCGGAAAAAACAATGCACTTTTATAGCAAAAATAAAACACATACACAAACACATGTAAATGTATAACTATATAACTTGTATACCTTAGTTTAGTATATAAGTATAAAAATATCAATATTTTCTGTCATATAAAAGTATCATGAATATTATTCATAATCATAAGGTTAAAAAGGTGCTTATATGAAATACCTCCCAAACCTGCATAATGTATACCTGGGGGCCAATCGCCTAACGGAAATGCTTTGGAAAACGCTAACGCTTACGATTTTATTTTGTTATTTCTAGCCGCCTGAGGTATTCAAATGCCTCGCGCTCTTTCTTTTTCTTTTGCATTGGTAATAACAATATTTAAAAAAATGATCGTGAGGTATTCGAAAACCTCAGGCGGCTAGAAATAACAATATAAAATCGAAAGCGTTAGCGTTTCCCAAAGCATTTCCGTTAGGCGATTGGCCCCCTGTTAGTCATGGTAGTGGATATATGATTAACTAGCTGTGCCCAGCGGTGTTACCCGCAGTTTATTAGCGATATTTTCCCGCAGTAAAACGTAGCCTATGTGTTAATCCAGGGTAGGGCTGCCATCTCTAAAATGTGGCAACCAGGACAAGACGTATGATAACCCCGGATTTAGGAGCCCAGAACCCGGACAGACCAAAGTTAAAAATGTTACAAATCAACTTTTTTTATGTTGATGTAGGTATAAGAGCTAGTAGTCTACCTCATAATAAGTGGTCAGTGGACACTTGCAGGAGGAGCTCGATGGCGCAGGTGGCTAGCGCGTTCGGCTGCGATCGTTGAAGTTAAGCAACTTTCGCAGTGGTCGGTCATTGGATGGGTGACCAAAAATTTACTATCTCGAGCTCCTCCGTGCTCCGTGCTTCGGAAGGCACGTTAAGCCGTTGGTCCCGGCTGCATTTGCAGTCGTTAGCACCCACCAATCCGCACTGGGCCCGCGTGGTGGGTCATGGCCCAATCTCCCTATTCCATCCATAGGGAAGGCCTGTGCCCCAGCAGTGGGGACATTAATAGGCTGATGATGATGGACACTTGCAGCACCAAGGCCCACTCACGCGTTGCCGGGTCTGAACGAAATGGTCACACACACTTGTGTCTTTGTTGGGTTAATGCAATCAAATTTTGTTGGCTCCAATTTGAGACTTGATCCAGTCTCAATCTCGGACACAAGTCTGTCTTTATACCGTTCTTCTTCCATCCGAGGGATGTTTGACCGGCCAGTGTAATAAGTGTCAGTGCTGTCATCCACATAGCAACGAATGCTGTTATTGCGTACAGCGTGAGCGACAGAGCTGATCTTTGAGAGAGAAAAGATTTATTTATTTTTAAAGACATTTAAATTGACGGGTTAATTGTCGACCCAAAACAGGATTTTTTTTAAAACCCGGACTACAAATGAAACCCCGCCCGGACGGTCCCCGGACGCCCCGTAAACTAGGACAAATCCGGGGAAACCCGGACGGATGGCAGCCCTAATCCAGGGTAACAGCTAACTCCATACCAAATTGTTAAAAAGTGAAGAAGTGACATAAATACACAGATTTATAATATTAGTATGATAGAATACACAGAACAGATAAGTACAGATATATTTCAGAAATCACACTAATATTATAAAGGGGCCATCCATAAATTACGTCACACTTTAAGGGGTAGGGAAGGGGTCGACGAAATGTGACATCGTGTGACAAGGGGTAGGAGGGATCCTAAATTTCGTGACGTCACATTTCAAAATATATTAAAATCTAAGTGTTGAAACTATTACTTTACGAAAGCTTTAACAACCCAAACGAGAACAAAGTGGTGCTATGCCAGTTATAAATAATTTAAAGGAGTGGGATCAATGTCCATGGACTCAAGATTATTAAGTTTGTATCTTTAATTTAATTATAATGCTATTAATATTTTATGTTTTGTTAATTTCTTTAATTAACATAGTCAATCACTTTTTGTTCGGTAATTTTTTTGTTTTGTTAATTGTTTGATTTGATTATAATAATAATGAAAAAACAATTTAAATGGAAATAAAACTGATTACAGAACCGCTGTTTTCATTCAATGATTTCTAAATGTAAATTTGCAAAATATGTGACGTCACACTAGGGAGGGGGGGAGTCTTACAAATGTGACCAGCTGTGACAAGGACGGGGGGAGGGGCAAAAAAGACATGAAATTCGTGTGACGTAATTTATGGATGACCCCAAAGGCGAAAGTTCACTCAGTGTGTGTGTGTGTATGTTTGTTCTTCACGTCTAAACGACTGGAGCGATTTTAATAAAATTTTGGTATGGAGTTAGCTGACGCCCTGGATTAACACACAGGCAAGGGCGGATCCAGCTTTGGCGCCAGGAGGAGATCATATAGTCATGATCAAGCCACAGTGGGTACAGATTGTGAAGTGGGTACAGATGGACCCAGCCCCCCCCCCCCCCCCCCTGGATCCGCCCTTGCACACAGGCTACGTTTTACTGCGGAAAAATATCCCCAATCAAGCGCGGGTAACAGCTAGTTGTAAATATTTGCCGGTTTCGATTCCGTCCCTAAAGGAAATATTATCGGATACGGTATGGGTAGGGTATGTCATGGAGGTCTGTACGTTACCGTGTGTACCTACTACTGGATATCCGAAATAATAAAAAAAATTTGGATAGTAGAGGCGGAATACCTACTAATATCCGTAATTGAAAATTTCGGTTATCCGAAATAGCCGTTATCAGTGCCGTCTTTGACCTATTGGAGGCCCTGGGCATATTAGGATAATGGATAGGGGCCAAAATGACTACCGTTTGGTGATTTAACAGGAACTAGGGACTTTGTATTTGATCTGAGGTGCCCCCCATCGATCGCGGGGCCCTGGGCCAAAAGTGCCCACTGGGAAAGACGGGTCTGGCCGTTATTGTTTATTATGTAACCGTATTTGAAACTAGTGTTATATTATTTAAATCATATGCTGATTCTAAATTACATATGCCCATACCCTTGATAGACACCATCAATTTGTAAACTTATTATCTAAATAACAATCACACTATAATATTATAAAGTCGAAAGTTTGTGAGTGTGTATGTCTGTTACTTCTTCACGTCTGAACGGCTGGAGCGATTTTAATAAAATTTGTTATGGAGTTAACTGACACCCTGGATTAACACATAGGCAACGTTTTACTGCGGGAAAATATCGTAAATAAACCGCGGGTAACCCCGCGGATCACAGCTAGTATTAATATAAATAATTTTCAATTAATCGAATTGATAAGAATGTCACAGTCATCTTAAACCACAGTATAAAAAGTCACAGTCCAAAGTAATGTCATTAGTGAAATTAAAAATTCCCAAACACGAGAAAATATTGTCCGTTCGAGCGATGACAAATCGTAGCATGTTTTGATAAGGCGAATTATCGCGAATATCCTAGGGATTTTGCAAAAACGCGGATAATTGGACAACGGCGATGACATGAAAGTGCAATGCGCCCGTGATACCCAGAGGTTTAGGGCCACGAGGACGTATGAGGGCTCAAAAGACGCGGAATTTGAAGGGCTTTAAGATGATGAAAAAATATATTGGAAGTTAGATAGAAAAAATTTTTGAAGTGAAACTTCTTTATCGGCGTTGGAAAAAAGTTTACCGTCACATTTTTCCGTTACGCGCCATCTTTTTTTATATTAATAGTTGATAGCTGAATGATCACACTGTCGCCGGCGAGAACTCTCTCTACTCGTTTGTAGCTGAGTGACAATAGTTATTAAAGATAAGACTCGCTCAGCCAAACTCGCATAGCGATACTCGCTCAGCGATACTCGCTCAGCGATACTCGCCCAGCGATACTCGCTCAGCGATTCTCGCTCAGCGATCTACTCGCTTATCGTTCATCGTCGGAGGTGGAACATGTGCCTTAGATTACTGAGCCGTGTAATCATAACAGTTTCATAGGCAGTAATTTGTATTCATGTCTATGATAATAAAATCCTTTTGTTTAAACTTTATCTAATTTAACTTTATTTAAGCAATTTCTGGAAAGTTGCATGTAGATCATTTTTCGAAAAATAAGGCCATAAAGAAGTTTCACTTCTTACGTGTGTACACTAGTACACGCACACATTTTTTTTTTAATAATCTATTATAGGTAGATTCATTTTCAATGCCCTTTCAAGTCGTGTAGAGCACGCGATCTGTGACTTTTTTTAGTAGGATTAGAAAATGTCATCGCCATTGTCTAATTAGTAATTATTCGCGTTTTCTAAAGATCACTAGGATTCGATTTATCAAATCATCCTACGGCACATATACCCTATGAACACCCTGTATACACATATAAAATAACAAGCCTTTATTCATCCTTTTGCCTGATGATTTCCTCAAAGTTGGGTTCGATTTCTCGTATCCTCTGTAAGAGAACTTCAGCCAGATTTGCTTCTGGGTCAGAGTCTGGAAATAAAAATAAAATAAAAAAAATATTTCCTACACTCACACCAATTAGCCTAGCTCCAAAGTAAGCACTGTAATGCTTGTGTTATGGGATACTAGGGTAACGGATAGAATACATATACAGTACATAAATAAGTATATTAATATAGAAATTCATATTAAACTGGACTGGAGTACAAATGCTCGTATTCATTACACAAACATCTGCCCCCACCGGGATTCGAACCCGGGACCTCTCGAGTCGGCGACACCATGAAACCCGGTGTACAAACCACTCGGCCACGGAGGTCGTCATAATAAATAAATAATAATGACTGATTGCTCAAATAACATATTTAAACCATAGATACGATAAGACCATCAATACTATTAGTTCTTTTTGTTTGCATAATTTAACATAAGAAGGAGATAGAAAGCCTCTCTTGAGTTTGTTTCGCCGGTTCTTCTCAGGAAGGTCTCCCAATTTTGGAACCGGCGGTAGTTTACGGTAGTTAGGGTCAAATAAATAAACTCAAAATTACAAACAAGAATTTTAAATAAAATACTTTATACTAAATACTAAACAAGAATTTTAAATAAATTTTAAAAATCTTCCAATGAAATAAGTCTTTCGAAGGTAGCTCGACAATTTTAAATAAAAAATCATTATTCTGACGATGCAGACCTGAAAAGGCTGCGAAACGTCAATAAATAAATAAACTTTCGTGCATTAACCCGTAAAAACTAGTTTTATTTATTTAAGTAGATTTCAATTCATGGGGGTCATGACCCCCATGACCCCCCCTCTGGATCCGCCCTTGATTCCATCCATAGGGAAGGCCTATGCCCCTGCAGTGGGGACATTAATAGGCTGATGATTATGTTGACAGTGTCAAGATTACAAAGTTGCTAGTGGCTGTTTATGTCATCATGCCTATTAATGTTCCCACTGCTGGGGCACAGGCCTTCCCTATGGAAGGAATAGGGAGATTGGGCCATGAAAAATGATATGAGTGAAATTTTAAGATGCGCGCGCATCACTGAGGTAACACCATGAAGTTGGCCGCTAAACCGCACATTAAGTCTAAAAAAAAAGCTACCAACAAAATAGAAATAGAATCTCTATTAGTCGCGCATGTTGGCACGCTCGTCGCCTCTGATCACTGTTTTCATATTTATAACTAGCGGCCCGCCCTCGCTTCGCTTCGGTGTAGAGCTGAAGTGTAGACTACAGTTTTTGTTCTCAGGCTTGTATTATACACAATGACATTCATCTATGATTCTTCTTATACCTGCATGCAAAGTCGCAGCCCGATCGGTTTAAAATTGACAAAGTTTCATACAAACTTTCATTCCCTATTTTATCCCCTTGGGGGTAGAATTGATCAAAATCCTTTCTTAGCGGATACCTACGTCATAACATCTACCTGCATGCCAAATTTCAGCCCGATCCGTCCAGTGGTTTGGGCTGTGCGTTGATAGATCACTATGTCAGTCAGGCACCTTTGAGTTTTATATATATAGATATTTATCCACATGTTTCTATATTCACAACACGTGTTTTAGTTTCATACAAGTGCGAATTATATATGTGTTAATAAATTATATTCAGTAGTGATTTAAATTGAATATTTTGATTATTTATTTAATTTTTCAAACTAAAACTGGACTTTATTGACTGTGTTGACTATGCTTTTCCAGTCCTTTTATTATTTTGTTGTAATCAAATTATTTACATGCAATTAAAAACCAAAGGACATCGACGAAATCGGCCCTAGCATGCCCAAAAGAATGTCCTTCACTATTATCTTTCTATTATTTTTTTAACATATTAGCAATTAATCATAGTAAACGGACAATCTATTTAAAAAAATAAAAAATTAAAGTTCTGTTACTAGATACTACAGTCTATTCATCCAACTTGGCACTCCTTTTTTTGAAAAAACAGCATTAAAAATCAACTGATAACTGGATTCAAAAGGTTTCAGCCTATAATAACGATTTATTTTAATAGTTTATTGGCTTCGTTAATATTTTATTATTAAATGGGTGATTCTGTTAAAAAGTTGTGCCAAGATTGTTTACCTTAATAAATGCATTAGAGGCGACCATAGGTATTTATCAAAAGAAAAATAGAGATACCTTAGTTAATAATACTTATTACTAGTTTTATATTTATAAAAAGATTATTTCTGAAATTATGTAAAGATAGTTTATACTCCCATCCCATGTAATATCTGTTTATTTTTATGAAAATCATAATGATAACCAGGTACATACCTAATTACCGATACTAAAATATAGAAACAGGTAAATGGAAAGACTGAACATTTCATTTGAAAAGAAATCAATTATTACTACAGGTAAGGTACCTATAGGTATCATAGGTGCCAACTGACAACACTCATTAATCAATATGAATATAAGCATTTATTATTTTTATTATTAATTGCATTTTATGTTCATTTAATGCATATTATTTAAGTGCTTACATAGAGGTAAACACTAAATCTATTCAGAATATATAGAGTGTACATCTTTTACGATTAAGTATAATAATTATAACCTCAAAATCAAATACATTCTGTAGTAGGCCACGGTTCCTCAAGTTGTCCGTATCTCAACAAATGCCTAATTAGAGTTTATGAATGATTCCGAACACAACTAGCATTTTCTCATTGCTGGGCGTTCTAGGGCATTCAATGTATGGGGAACGAGCAATGTCCTTTTCAATGATGCCAAAGTATAACTTCTCACGTGCGTACATAAGTACGCGCACCCATTTTTTTATTTAGTACTAGACGACCCGGTGATACTTCGTATCACCTATTCCCTGGGTTCCGAACCTGGGGGTAATTACCCCTCCGGGGGTAAATCAGCCATATATATATATCACCACAAAGAACCTAATTATTTGGTCAAATCTAATTAATAAGAAACTAGCAAACCAGTGAACCAAATGTTCACCAAAACCTGATTTAAAAAAAAATGTATTTAATTAATTGAGAACTTCGGAGATTTTGTGTGGTTTCGTTTGAAATTCGTGATTTCTCGAAAACCGGAAGTGCTACGTTACTCAAATCCGGTTTGTAGTCTTATCAGACTATTCTTAACTTATAACTTAAACATTCTCTTTATCTATCTCTTACGGTTTGGCCGCTGAAACAGCACCACAGACAGACGGACGGACAGACGGACTTGTCTAATAGATAAGAGATACTAAATAGAGCATGCGCTCGTTCTTGCTAGCGAGCCCGCGGGGTGCTGAGTGTGGGAAGCGGGGAGAGATTCTCTCCTGATGATGACATTATTAAAGATGAAGATGTAGCGGCCAAATTGGAATTTCTTGGACTGATGATAACATTTTAAAGTCGGGGTAATATCTATTTTCCTAATAGGTTACAGGGGTAGCACAGTATTGGAAAGGTTAGGAAACTCTGACCTATTCTAACGACATTAAAACTCTCCCTTCGCTAAAATGGCTGAATATTTTGACCGTTAATGTCAAGCATTCCTGACGGGAAAGTATGTAGAACAGTTTATATGGGAAAGAGAAATTGTGGTTTTTACTATCTTCATTTCTATATATATACTAGCTGGCCCAGCGAACTTCGTACCGCCATAAAAAAATAGGGGTTGGTGGTAAAAGAGTGAAAATTTAGGATTGTATATATTTACTAATGCTGTATCATAAAAAAATAAAAAAAAATATCTAAAATTGAAAAAAAAATTAGGGGTGGATTACCCTTAACATTTAGGGGGATGAAAAATAGATGTTGTCCGATTCTCAGACCTACCCAATATGCACACAAAGTTTCATGAGAATCGGGAAAGCAGTTTCGGAGGAGTTTAACCACAAACACCGCGACACGAGAATTTTATATATTGGATATATATCATATCTTCGCGCTGTTTCCATATTTTCTCAGCGTTCAAACCTTCCCTGAACTACGACAAACATTTTAACACAATAATCAGCTAAATCGACCCCGCCGTTCTCGAGTTTTAGCCAGACAAACGAACAGCATTTAATCTCTTATCTATTAGACAAGTCCGTCCGTCCGTCCGTCTGTGGTGCTGTTTCAGCGGCCAAACCGTAAGAGATAGATAAAGAGAATGTTTAAGTTATAAGTTAAGAATAGTCTGATAAGACTACGAACCGGATTTGAGTAACGTAGCACTTCCGGTTTTCGAGAAATCACGAATTTCAAACGAAACCACACAAAATCTCCGAAGTTCTCAATTAGTTAAATACATTTTTTGAAGTTATACTTCTTTAGGCGCGTTATGAAAAAATGATGAGAGTGAAATTTTAAGATGCGCGCGCATCACTGTAACACAAAAATTAACAGCATGAAGTTGATCGCTTTAGCGACCAACTACATGCTGTTACTTTTGTGTTTACCGCACATTAAGAAAATCTACTAACAAAATAGAAATAGAATCTCTATTTAGTGGGTGCTAACGACTGCATTGTGAAGGCCTATCAAAAGTTTTTTTTTTTTAAATCAGGTTTTGGTGAACATTTGGTTCACTGGTTTGCTAGTTTTTATATAATAGATACTCACTGTCGAAGTAAATGACCTCGCATTTTCCCTTACACTCCTCACTCAGCTCCAGTATGGAGGTCAGCATCGAGCTAAAGTCTTTCACCACCTCTTCAACGTCTATGTCTTCCAACTCTGGTAGGGAACAACATTATCGATCAAATAAACTAAAGATAAAAAAAAACAATACACAAGTGTCGAACTTTTAAAAACTTTAATAATAAAAAAAGCGACGGGTTGCACTCCGGGAGTGCCGGCATAAGTGAAAACTTGAATATTACGGTAAAATGCTTTACCGCACGCATGGAATATATTTTATGTATTTCAGTAATGTATTTTGAATTTTAGATTTTATTGACAATTATATTTTAAAGTGTTTTATTGTATTGCAATATTTATAATCGAAATGGTAATGCATCTTCAATGAAAGTTATTTAGTTCATAGTTTTCTATTGACATTTAGTTACATTGACATTATTTATTGACATATTGACATTGTTTTCTATAAATAAATAATTCACACCAATTAGTCTAGCCCCAAAGTAAGCACTGTAAGGCTTGTGTTATGGGATACTAGGGTAACGGATAGGTACATATATAAGTATATTTATATAGAAATACATATTAAACACCCATGACTGGAGTACAAATGCTCGTATTAATCACACAAACTTCTGCCCCCACCGGGATTCGAACCTTCCCTCGGGACCTCTGGAGTCGGTGACACCATGAAACCCGGCGTAAAAACCACTCGGCCACGGAGAACGTCATATTTATAGTATTGAAATCATATAGTTTATAATTTTTAAATCATAATGTTAATAATTCAAGTAATATTATAAGAATTAAACGATACTTTAATTTGGTAGGACGACTATACTATTGAATTAGGTATATACCTAACGAGTGTAAAGTGTTTTAAATAAATAAATAATCTCAGAAAATTCACGACGACCTCCGTGGCCGGGTTTCATGGTGTCGCCGACTCGAGAGGTCCCAGGGGCAGATGTTTTTGTGATGAACACGAGCATTTGTACTCCAGTCATGGATGTTTAATATGTATTTCTATATAAATATACTTATATATGTACTATATATGTATTCTATCCGTTACCCTAGCATCCCATAACACAAGCCTTACAGTGCTAACTTTGGGGCTAGGCTAATTGGTGTGTGTTTTGGAAACATAAATAATAAAATACCTTTATACAGTGACTTCTTCTTCATGACGCGGTGTAGGGTGTGCAATGGCGTGGCACATTCGGCCGCGATATAAACCGAAGGTAGCCCGCGTCGCTCTATCTTGTACGCGGAGTTCCTGTACACGCGCCTCTTCACGCCTGCCACGTCTTTCACCACGTTCTCCAACGACTACAATCACCAAAAACTCAAAATTCAAACTCATTTATTCAGTCTAGTTACAAACTCTTGTGAAAGTCAAACGCTACGCCATCGGTTCGTAAATCTACGGCGGGAGACCTTGTACCGAGAAGAACCGGCAAGAAACTCAGCAAGGGCTATTTTTTGCTCTCTGTTTTGTTTCATACAGTGTCGTCAATTGAAAGATGACATCAAAAACTAAAAACATGTGTTGATGTCATCTTTCAAGCAAATTAAAACGACTTAGCTATTATATTAAGCCCATGGTGCCTTATCATTTATGAAATCTTTAACTGTATACTACCCTTTCTTAAGGAGACAAGTTTTTATACACACTTTAAACTTATGAAAAGGTAAATTTATTATTTCTTTTGGTATTTTATTATAGTAACATACACTTTGACCCACAAAAGAACCAAGAACCTTTTGGAGTCTCAACCAAACAATACCACCACGTAGATTACCCAGAACTCAAATAAAAACATTAGTTCTACCTCTTTGCACAACGGTATTGGGTTCAATTTCCTTTGTCCCTAGAGTAAGTAGACTTCTAAATTCTTTGGATCAGTCCATTGATAATTATGCTGGTAGTCTCAATACATTTCGTCAGCACTTGCAATTGACCACGTTGTAGTATGATGATATTATGTAACTTCAGAAATTGGCAGAATTTTGTAAATGTGAGTTTTTTTTATATACAGACGGGACTCGAATCCGCACCCTTCGCTATCCGGGCGAATGCACTGACCACTGACCACACTGACTGTCTGCTGCCTGGTCCGCGTGGAATTTTTTTCTTGTTATATTTTCTTTAGATTTAAACATCAAGCAGTTACATGCTTCAAAAATAAAAATTATAACTATAATTGCTATTTCTTCTTCCAAATGTTTAATATTTGTAAAACCAGTGGCGGCGCTAGACCACATGTGGACGTCGGCGACATCAAGTTCGCGAGGCCTATTTTACTTCGCAGACAAAAATCGTTAAATTAAGTGAGCCAAATTATAAAATAACGTATGAGTAAACGAGTTTTATTGTTGATAATCAAATGATGACAAAAAATAATTACAAACATAGAAATTTAATTACAAAAATAGTGTGTAAAAATAGTAGACGATTCTGAATACCCGTAAAGTACTACTCGCTTCCATCACGCACGTGTTCGAAAATAATAAAAGTCATTATCATCTGCTTAGCTTTTTCCCCGAATTGTTTGGGGTCGGCTACCTAAGCCAGGCCAGGAGAAACGAAAATAAATAGGTAACTTGTAAAAATTTTTTGCGACGCCCCCTCAGGCGCGAGGCCGACATCGCCGACGCCTAGCGCCGCCACTGTGTAAAAGTATTCATTTGACATTGTGGGTTACCTACAATGCGAAGAGATGGCGCTGCCTTGCAGCTTAAGAATCTACTATATTTTAAGAGTTAACAGCTTCGAAAATACTGTATTTGATGGAAAAAAAGTTGGGAACCCTTGTTGAAGCGTATAATTCTGTCTCGCTCTTTCGATAGAATGTTTAGAAGTGTGCGTATGTGAGAGTTGCTTATGTAGTTGAGTCGGAGCATGTTTTATATGATGCTAGTATGAGCGTACCGTATCTTTCCTTTTTGTTTTTATCTAAGTACATAAAGCAAATCTTAAATCTTTGTTTAAATAATATTATTGTATGGGATCTATTTTTCAAAATTACTTAAGTGTTTTTATATATTTTCTATGTTGGTTGAGTTTTGCACATATCCAGCCAGCAAATTATGGAAGCTAAGTTGCTAGCAAAAAAATTACTTTAGGTATTAATGCATCCGATTATGCGATCTCTACTATGACACTAAGTGGGCCGACATATTTGACCGGAAGTGTATCAAATGACGGCTTACCTTGCAAGCTTCCAACGAAGGCAGATCTGGCCGGTTCGGTATATTGAATTCCTTGAGATCAGGGGGACAGTACATGGTCTTGGTGATAATGATAAACCATCTGAGTGAATAAATAATTACCATAGTGAATAAAGTGAGCGTTCCCTGTGCAAATGTTTATATTAGGTAACAAATCAAATTCTAAGTCATTTATTCAATGAAATGAAATTATACTTTATTACAATTGACTTATTGAAAAGCTCAACATACGCCGTCTACTGCTCACATCACAAAATACACAGGGCTGCGTTCCAAACTTACGATTCAAGTGCAACAAATGTCAAATTTGTCTAAAGTTTCAAACATTATAGATCAAAACTAGCCGACGCAGCTAACTTCGTACCGCCATTAAAATAAGGGTTGGTGGAAGAGGGGTCAAACTTTAGGGTTGTATGTATTTTTGTATGTGTATCATAAAAAAAAAAAAAAAAAAATGGGCGCAAATCAAATCATACGCCAAAAAGAAGGGCGTAAGCGGCATTGGTTCAAAAAAACACCAAAATTTATGTTGTGAACAATAAAAATCTTCAAAAAATTGAGTTGCTTAAGCGCCAAAAAAGAACTCAAATCTCTACGAAACAAAAACAGATCGACGCACTAAATATCTGATTAAAATCACACTAACATTATTAAGGCTGTAGTTCGTGAGTGTGTATGTTTGTTACTTCTTTACGTCTAAACGGATTGACGGATTTGGATGAATTTTGACACACATATAGTTTATTACCTGGATTAAGACATAGTATACTTTTTATCCCGAAAAAAAATTTGGTTCTGGAAGGATTTTCAAAAAACTTAAGTTAACGTGGACGAAGTCGCGGGCGGCTACTAGTGTTATATATAACTTATTTTTGATGAAAGTGGAGTATAAGCGATTTTGCCTTTCCACTGTCGATTATGTATTGTTTTAGTAGCCGTGTGCGTGTGAGTGCGCGGAGCGGGTACGAGGAAGTAAATTATTATTTGTGTAAAACTAGTTTTAACGGGTTAATGCACGAAACTTTATTTATTTATTGACGTTTCGTCGTATAGTCAGTAAACAAATAAAGTTTCGTGCATTAAACCGTTAAAACTAGTTTTATTTAACGAGTGATGTGTGTGAAAACCTAAGAAACAAATATATTATTTGTGTGTTGTAAATACTTTTAAGAACAAAATACATTTATCCTATATTTTTTAATAGACTTTATTTTTGTAAATTGTGTTCGGCTAATACAATTAATTATTTGCATGCAATTAAAAACTAATTTTAAACGATGCCAAAGAAGGATAACTTCTCACTTATCCTTCTTTGGCATCGTTTAAAATTAGTTTTTAATTGCATGCAAATAATTAATTACAATAAATTAATAAAAAGTCTGGAAAAGGACACAGTCAATAAAGTTTAGTTTTAATTTGAAAAAATAAATAAATAATCAAAATATTCAATTAAAATCGCTACTGAATATAATTTATTAGAACATTATGTGATTTGCACTTGTATGAAACTCAAACACGTATTCCGAATATACAAACTAGAAACATGTGGATAAATATTATAAATATGAATACCTATAACTGTTACTTTATTACAAAAAATAAAGATGTGGTTTTTGGTTCTACTACACCAATGGTCAAGAGATGGCGCTGTAGTCTCCTGAATCGCGCTTTGGTTCCGTTGTTCCAGATTAATAAATACTTTTGATAGGCCTTCACAATGCAGTCGTTAGCACCCACTAAATAGAGATTCTATTTCTATTTTGTCGGTAGATATTCTTAATGTGCGGTAAACAAAAGTAACGCATGAAGTTGGTCGCTAAAGTGACCAACCAAGTGTATGTATACCTGCGTACTGGGAAGCGCACGGACTCGTTGGCCTCGAACATGCGTATGTTATCTTGCTATTGTTATATGTGTGTGTGTTATATGACATATAATATGAGTGCCCCCCCCCCCCCCCCGGTATGTATACCTGCGTACTGGGAATCGCACGGACTCGTTGGCCTCGAACATGCGTATGTTCTCGTGGAGGCCCACGTAGGTGTGTCCGTCGCTGGGGATCATTAACGCCAGATAACCCTCGAAGAAGCTGCACGCCATGCCCGTGCCATACGATACTTTGCGTTTCTCCACGCCCTGTGTTACAGACGACGAATCAGAAATGATATGGAAGCATTTTTGGTAAGTATACATGAAGACACCAGACACTCAGTGTATCCACTGCCTCGACACTTAGTTGCAGACACAGACATAGATAGTACTATACTTTCTATGTCTGTGGTTGCAGATGTAGTGGCGATTTCGCTTAGTGTCCGTTTCGCAGCCGTGGAGACAGGATCGGCGACTAAGGCTGCCAACCCTAATATATACTACAGTATCCGACTTAGGGGATCAAATACTATATTTCTTAAAAAAATATAAAGTAGGCGAAAACTATTATATTTTGCTTAAAACATATTTTTAACAGTAAAAGCTTTAGTAAAAATTATTAGAAATTGTTATTAAATTATTATTAAGGCAAAGAGCAGCAAAAATACATTTATTTCAAAAATAAAGTAAATATATTAACCACAAACCATATTTTTTTCCATTTTTTTGCCAGTTATATTTTAATAAGTAACGCTTCGAAATTACTATATTTGATAGAAAAAAGTTACCTACGTGCGACAGACATACAATACACTCGAAACGGGACACTAGATGTTTACACTTATGTCGACACCACAAAAAATGTTTATGATGTGGACGCATTCAATACCGCGTGGATGCAATCGACATTAGTGTCGAGATTTGTGTCGAGTGTAAGTGTCGTCAGGTATTTGATCCATTAAGCATAAATAAACTTGTATCGTGTTGTATTGTAACGCATTAGAGAGCCATCGGATTCATACATATAGTACGGGTTGAACTATACTTCGAGTGTCGCGATGTGCCGACAGCGTTCCCAGTCTAACCGTACTAAATGTATGAAACCGATAGCTCCCTGACGCATCACAACACAACAGACAAGCGTAGTACTGCCATTACTCTCCATCAAAGTCAGCCTAAACATAGCTCCAAACTCATACAACTAAACTTGCAAACTAACGCGTCTAGACTTCACCGTCACTTAACATCAGGTGAGGTCGATTCATTTGTCGGATCTATCTATAAAAATAAAAATAAACGCGACACGCACACAAACCAACCAAAATATTATGACAAATCTTCAAATGAATTCGGCTTGCGCATATGGAATGAGATCATATCAAACGGAAATCCCAACCAATCAAATTATCGGGGAGTTGAACACAGTTTTTTCGCCCCGCCCACTTGATCGCAGTTTGCGTGGAATCACTTTTTAGTGCAGTTCGTATTCCATACTATTTCTAATTGGTTGGTTAGGGACGATGCCTTTTATTTGCCATTATCAGCCATTACACTTTATATTAAATTATAAAAAAAACCTAACATATGGTGTTAGAGAACTTTCCTTAAATTTTCTCATATTTTTTCTTTTAAAAACTTTTTCCACAATTTGAAAATCGTTAAACGATTCTTAAGTTATATATGACGTGACGTAACCAAATGAAATAGGTATCAATTTTTTATTTTATAAATAAGAACTCCCACAATGACTATTCATAGCTGAATGACCCAAACACTTATTATCTGTAACACGGAAGGCACGTTGAGCGGTTAGTCCCGGCTGCATCTGCATTCGCTAGGACCCACCAATCCGCACTAGGCTCTCGTGGTGGGTCACGGCCTAATCTCTAACTGCAGTTCGATTTAGTGGACAACTCACATAAAATGTATTAGTCCCAAACTGAGAAAATCTTGAACAATGAATACTAAACAATGTACCTATTTAAAAGTAAAAAATATACAGTCGAACACAGAACCTCCTCCTTTTTCGAAGTCGGTTAATAATAGAAGTTTATAAATAATATGACATCACTCGAGAAAGAAAAAAATATTTAAAAATACTAAGCAAGTAAGTGTTACGTTAAGAGGAGCTCAATGGTGCAAGTGGTTAGCGCGTTCGGCTGCGATCGTTAAAGTTAAGCAATTTTCGCAGTGGTCGATCATTGGATGGGTGACCAAAAATTTACGTGCTCCTCCGTGCTTCGGAAGGCACGTTAAGCCGTTGGTCCCGGCTGCATCTGCAGTCGTTAGCACCCACCAATCCGCACTGGGCCCGCGTGGAGGGTCATGGCCCAATCTCCCTATTCCATCCATAGGGAAGGCCTGTGCCCCAGCAGTGGGGACATTAATAGGCTGATGATGATGATGATGATGAAGTTTTACAATTTTTTACGAGCGGACCCCTTACTTAAAGGCCGGGATCGCATTTTAGAAATATTCCTGGTATTGAAGATGTGTATGGGCGACGGTGATCATGTACGCGGCACGTAACTCTAGCGCTGAACTTCACGTTGGGGGGTAGCTGCGCATGTCGGGGTACGACTGGAGAGATAATCGGCGCATCGCACGCCCACCCGCGCACCTCGTTTACCCCCAACACATCTTCATTTTCAGCGCTAGAGTTTCGTGACGCGACTTATACCATCAGGTGAACCGTTTGCTCGTATGCCCCCTATAATATAAAAAAATGGATGCGTGTAACTTATGTACGCGCGTGAGAAGTTATACTTGTTTAGCATCATTAAAAATATTTTTTAATTGCATGCAAATAATTAATGATTACAAAACACATACTTCATATATGTATAAAAATTGATTGTTTTTCCTCACTTAATCTTAGTAAGTTTTTATTAAGAAATCTGATGGTTTGATTTGATGATTGATGATAGTTAGTGACCATGAAAGTTTAAAACAATATACTGATGGTTTTTCTCATTTAATATAAGTAAATAAGTTTTGTAACACCATAGTATTAAATATCATCACGCCGCCCGTTACTAGATGGCGCTGTACGCATGTGAATCGCGCTATCCTATACCGACACCGATTGTATGGCACATCATAGGATCAAATATCATCACGCCGACCGCTACTAGATGGCGCTGTACGCATGTGAATCGTGCTATACTATACTGACACCACTTGTATAAGGTGTTCTTGGGAAATTGACCAAGTCATCGCTTCATAGGTAGGGCCTAATGTCTTGCACGCTATACGCTTCCACCACGCGGGACGTCTTAGTGTCTTGATAATAGTATACATGTACTTGCACCCTTGTGGGATACAGTAATACCATTTCTCCTACAAATATTGAATAGTAATCACAATATAAGTATTTTCTACCTACGCCTATCTTTATTTGACGACAGTCTTCTCACACTCCCCCTTCGCCCTCCCGCACATTCTTACAGTTTTATTAAATTATAAATATGAAAACAGTGATCAGAGGCGACGAGCGTCCCAACATGTGCGACTAAGAGATCCTATTACTATTTTGTTGGAAGCTTTTTTTCGAGACTTACGAGTAATGTGCGGTTTAGCGGCCGACTTCATGGTGTTACTTTTCTGTTACAGTGTTGCGCGCGCATCTTAAAATTTCACTCTCATCATTTTTTCATAACACGCCCGCGGCTAACTTCATTATGTTACTTTTGTGTTACAGTGATGCGCGCGCATCTTAAAATTTCACTCTCAAATTTTTTTTTATAACGCGGCTAAAGAAGTATAACTTCAAAAATAAACAGCTAAAAACCTTTGGAATCAAAACAAACATCAAACACTCACCAACTCACCATATCCATACATTTGATGACCAAAGATCCCACGTAGAGGTACAGAAACTCTTCGCCGAACAGACTTGCCTGGTTCAAAATCAGGTAACCAAAGGCCGCGACGAACACAAGCAAGTGTTTATGGTTGTGCTGGCAACACCGAGAGACGGCGCCAGTGTTGCCATGAAAAGCTTTGTAAGCCACCCGTATTGCTTCGCTGGAGCCTCTCACAATGTATATATATATAACATGGCGTGCTGAAATAAAAAAAAATGAGCGAGCCTTATATTAGTAAAAAAAGAAATAAAACCTACTACAAAAGGAATAATCCATATGAACATTGGTGCCAATTCTGGCGTGATTCTCTAAACTTAAAACTAAATTTAACATCAGTCTCTCCTTTTCATTCTGTATAGAGAATGACAAGGATATACTGCTGTCAAATTTAAGTTTAGGTTTAGAGAATCATGCTAGAATCGACACCATTATGTTCTTAAATCAAATCAAATAGCGCGCGCTTTCGCGACTTGCAGTTACAGACTTCCGTCCCATTGCACGAAATCACTCCCACAAATTGCAGAAAAGCGAGAGGAAAGATGTTACACATCAAAAAGAATGAAAGTTTTTTATCCCACTAATATTGTAAATGTGAAAGTTTGTGTGTATGTATGTTCGTTATGCCGGGCACTGCACTTGGCTATACGTATTTGCTAATTTTGAACTTGACGACAATCTATCCTTATTATGTTTTATAAAGAATGAAAAGGACAGACTGATGCCATGTTTACAAATAGCAAATATGAACAGCTAAGTTAAGTGCCGGCAAAATACTCAATCACGCAAAATCTACTGAAAGGATTTGGATGAAATTTTGTAGGCATATAGTTTAAGACCTGCATTGAGACGTAGGATATTTTTTATTATTACCCTGAAATATTAGGTTCCTCTGAAATTCTTAAAAAATCTAATCATTATAACGCGGACAGAGTCGCGGATAGCCGCAAGTTACAAATATAAATAGAAAAAATAATTCCACTATTTGATGTTACCACCACGAAATTTTGGCTTAGCGATGACATCATCAACTCAGGATAAATCTATAGAAAATTTTACTAGAAATTTTACTTTGTAAATAAAATACAGTGCGTTAATCTTTGACGCAAACTCAACTTCTTTATCAGAAACAGCTCTATATTGAATGGTAAGCGCGTCCGGTCTCAGATTGCTGTGAATAAACAGTAACTGTCGCAAATTCCAGACACTAGATGGCAGGCTCGGTTCTAAGCAGGGAAAGGTCAAAGAGTACACGACTCACCCAAATAGATCATATCGAATTGAACTAAAAAATTACAAAATTAAAGAAAAATAAAATTTTTGCCCCGAGCCGCAATGCATCCATCGAGGTCTGCAACGATGATCTCTACCCAAATATATAGACTTTGCTAAAAAATCTGGCAACTATTCCTATAAGCGGTGCTCAGAAGCGGTCCTTAACCGGAGAGCAAATAAATAAACTTATTCTAGCGGGATGCAATCTTAAGTTTGCTAGATTAGCTAATAGACAAGTGAATCTTGTTTCATATTATAAAGCTTCCGTGAAATATTGTTTGACCGATTGTTGAAATCGCATGAAAATCCGTTCAGCAGCTTTTGCGATGGTCGCGACCATACAGATAAGCTGATGCGGTTGGGGACTTGATCTTTAAAACAGCACATAAATATACACAGTCAGGTCATAAGTATTGTCACACAGTAAAAACTTTTCTTTTAGAATGCTGGCCGCAAAAAAGTTTATTGAGTTCGAATTTCGAATTGTTCATGAAAATAAAAATGTATACTTTTTAGAATTTTACTCATTTTTAAATATGGAGTGGACGCTTAAAGAAGACCGTGTTGCAGTTATTATTTAGTTATTAGTTATACCTGACTAGGTAGATAACTACGAGCCCTTACCGCCAAATTATCGTAAGCGACACTTTTGTCACAATGCGTTTTTTGAGGAAACTAATATTTTAAACCGTAACGGACCCATATCTGTTGATATTTCCCTCCAAAAGAACACCGTTATAATATAATAGAGGGAAGAATAGAGGGAAATATCAACAGAGATGGGTCCGTTACGGTTTAAAATATAAGTTTCTACAAAAAACGCATTTCGACAAAAGTGTCGCTTACGATAATTTGGCGAGTGTCGCTTACGATAATTTGGCGGTAAGGGCTCGACTACATCTACATACTTATTTACTTTGGGGCTAGGCTAATTGATGTATGCTAGAAATATATATTTAATTATCTAACGCCTTCCAGCTTCGAGCCAAATTGGAGTAATATTGTAGGTATTATAAAAATGTTACTACTAAAAGTTACGACCACAATATAGCGTGCAAAGTTCAATAAGTAATTTAAGTAAACTCACCCACTACTGCATAAAATGTTGATTTGTTTTCTGTGTTGAAATTCTGCGATGCTGTAACGCAAAACGCAGTAATTAACAAAACGGGTGCAAAAATTTCGAATAAATTCATTTTGCTTGCGGAAATTGACGCAGAACATAATATTGTTCACAGTATAAAAGAGAGATCTTTACTGGCGACGATTTAAGAGTAAATTGAAACATGGACCATGGTACAGTTCACAGAAACAATATTTTCGTTCTGTAAAGTAATAAGCTAGGGTTGTCAACTGCCATATTTAAAAAATACCTATTATTTTAGTTAGATAATCATGCCAGAATCAGGCTCCTGTTTAAACCAATTTTATATTTACTAAGAAAGATAATATAATCAAGGGCGGATCCAGAGAGGGAGTCACGGGGGTCATGACTGGGTCCATCTGTACCCACATCACAATCTGTACTACACAATCTGTACCCACTGTGACTTGACCACGACTATATGACCCCCCCTGGCGCCTGCTGGATCCGCCCTTGAATATAATACAGTTGACATTGTGTGTTCATTTACGATCTTGAAAGCTGTTAATTGCAAATGTGCGGCATTTATTACTATTTTATTAATTTATTTTGAGAATGACCAACAGAATATGAATACACTAATACAAGACAATACGATACTAGTATCAATGACAATTAGGTGCTATCTGAATTTAAAGTCACCACTACATTACAAAACAAGCATCCATATGTAAAATAGATTGTCAAGTATCAGATCTATACAAGTCATCAGCAAATAATTCAATCTTTGAATTCATGTTCCAAATTAAATTTCTAGACGAATTAACTACAAATAAGTTAAAATAAAAAAATGGGGCAGCCCTAAGCCTTAATTATGCTGAAATAATAAACAATGGGTGTTGTTTAAACTTAATTAATGATTAGAGGTGGACTAGCCCATGAGCCTCAGGATATGTACATGAATAATAACTTACCTATAAAAATAGAGGCTGCAAATAATATCTCCACTGCATAGATATGCAATTTATTCAAGTTCTTTACTTCTGCCTTCATCCTGACAAAAACAGGTTTAGTTAGTAACAATACACTTCTAACAATCTGAAATTGCTAGTGCTAGTTAAAAGAGACCGTAGTTTTTTGACGTGACAACGTCTTAAATTAGGTTGCGGCTGGGAGTCACTTATGAAAAAGTGTAACGCTCGGTAACGTTACGATGAGTCTCTCGTGTTAAGTTTAAGTTTACATGTACAATGTTTTAGTAAACAAAATATATTTCTATAGTTAAAATTTGTGCAATTCTTATTTTCATTCAATTCCTTGTTCCTATTGTGCAATTTAATTATATTCATATCAATAAATATTCTACCGAGAAAAAGACGTTGTCACGTAAAATCTTCGCCCGTAAAACCGACTTTACAGGCAACCATTTTTTTCTCATTTTTTTCATGCACTCTCATTCATTTCAATTAATGTTTTTTATTCATGTAGGTACTTGTATAAGCTAATTATATTTCTTTCTAATTTTTTTTTTCTAATTATAATGTTACTTTGCGACTTTGTGAGAGAAATAAATAAATCAATTATTCATTGAAATCATTCATTCAAGCATTTCAAATGCTCCTCTTAAATAACTGCCGGCCGCGCCGCCGCCGCGCCGCCCGAATTTCATCTGCTGTAACTTCAGTATTATATTTTATTTTGAGAGTTAATTGGCTGGTTATTGATTAAAAATCATTATTATTTAATCATTTTTATTTAAAACTTATATGGATTCTAGCTGACCCAGCGAACTTCGTACATCCATAAAAATAGGGGCAGGAGGTAGAAGAGAAAATTTAGGGATGTATGTATTTTTTAATACCACATTATAAAAAAATAAATATTGTCCAAAAAAAATTTAGGGGTGTGTAACGTAGTGTTCTATCAATTTCCTGGGATAACATTCCTCCTAACCCATATGAGAACACTACGTAACAATACCCAATAGTTTGAATTTTGACGCGAAGGCGCATTGTAGGTTTCAGAACACTACGTTACAGGTGGACAACTATTATCACTTAAGGATATGAAAAATAGACAATAGCCGATTCTCAGACCCATGGAATATGCATATAAAGGAGAATGGTCATTTTACTTTGGGAGTTGGGCTAAGTTTTTTTCATTGCGTCTTATTGGAATAAGTGTACAACAATAGGGAATCAGGTGTATATTGCGTAGGAAAAATATCATTAGAAACTTAAGTAGTGGTTTAAAGAAAATATTAAATTACGTAAGCATTTTAAGGTTATGTCATATTTAGATTCGATTAAATTCGATATTTATACCATACTTAATTATTACTAGGTATACTACTTTAAACTGTATTTAATTAGGTTGTGACCTTTTGTCTTCTATTTTGGACTGGGAGTGAAACAAAAATTGAATGCACTTCGTAAAATCTTATCAACGGGCAGCATATATTTGTAAACTGTTGCGTTGGTGAGCTGCTATCTATCTCTATTTATTCCAAACATCTCAGATTCAATAAATGTGGCGTTGTTGAGGTGCGGTTATATTAGTGCTATTTATACTTATTCTCTTTACGCTCAAGCTGCACCTTTGATGCTCTGTTAACCCAACAATGGATCTAATATTATTTAAGGTTTAGGAATCAAAAATAAATAAGACAAAATATTTTAATAATGATAATCATTTATTGATAACACATTTATCCAAATCGACATTATTAATGTGATATTTTTATTTTATATTTTTGAGGTTATGCCGTATCCAGTGGAACTGTAGTGACTTCGCCTAAAATATCTTTTGTAACTCGCCACCATGTCCTGTTGAGTTTGAAATATCCAGTTAAAGCTCTGCTAAGTTCAATTAACACAGCAGTTTATACATTAAGCGTGCTCTAATCCTGGTTTATATATTGCCTTTTTTTAAAAATGAATTGACTTATATACCTTCTTCAAATACCTCATCTAAAAATGTAGCTGGAGCATGTGTATTGTTAAATCGCCCCCAGCTAAGGTACCAAACTACCGTCATTACGTGTGCGCAACATCCTACTGTCCTTTTGCCTACAATACAACTGCAGCAATAGCCAACTAAACAACTTAGTGAGTTGGCTATATTGGTGTCACGGCTGACTAAAATGTAAACAAAATAGGTGCGTCCACCAACGTGTCTAGACTTAATACGTCCTCTAAGCAGATAATTGTTTAAACCTAATACAAGGGGAACATCTTCATCTATTTCAGTATTTATTTCTATGGAATATATCCCAGACGATCGAATATGTTCCCCATAATATGATCGCGCCTGCTTTAACTGATAAGTGCCTAATGCAAAGCGTTTTAAATCAGTGATGCTTAAACTGGGAAAGGTTTCCAAGTGAGGATGATTGCCATCAATTGCAGAAAACATTGCACGTCTTCTGTTAAGATTTTGAGTTTCTACAAACTCGGCCAAATGATTGGACTCATTAAGCCGATTTTGAGCAATAGCTACATACTCGCTTGCTTCTGGAGGATCCTGTATTAAGGGATAAAACTTATTTAACAGAGCACATGCAATTCTTAAATCATCTTTTAAATGAGTTGCAGCTCTGTTATTAAATACATGCCTGAACAATCTAAAATCTCGTTTTATACGTCCATTTACTATTTCAACCACCCAGCGACACATTGTTACAAATCTAGATTTGTTAGCCTGAAGGGTAGTGAGTTGATGTTCACCATCTAATAATGATTCAGGCATGTAAGCTTTAAAACCAAGATCCTCCATAAATTCAATTACGTCCCGAAACCCCCTATCCAGAATGAAAACATCATCCTGCCGGAAAAATGAACACAGTTTTCCTTCTTCATTATTTAAATCATGCCTTGTTATTGAAGCATCATTAGTGGTTGCTTTATAGGGACCCATACAATCTATAATATATCTATCACAACACACAACCATAAAAGGTTTAACTAAATTATCAGATTTTTGTAAACTATATGATTCTTTTTGAAAACGATAATTGCTGCTGCTCTGGACAAATATATAAGTTGCGTCACACATAACAATAGCGGGTTTAATATCATTTGGTAAGATTGGATTACCAAACAATCCCTCCGGGATTATTTTATTTCTGCTGGCCACTTGCTCCACATTTACATGACCAAAGCCCAAATGTCTTGACACAAAATCTTCAATTGAACAACTTCTAGCTATATTCATTTTTCTCTCCAAGGTCCTACGAGATATTTGAAAGAGGGAACTTAATCGTTCATTGCTGTCCCCAGTTCTTAACTTGACTATGTAAATACAGAGTGCTAAACGGGGATTTTTGACACTCTGTAATAAGCTTGGTACACATGCCAAGAGTTCATCAAACTGTTCAGCATTCATTCCCAGTCAATAATGGCATAAGAAAGGAGCCATTGCAGAAATATTTTCAAAGTCGAAACAATGGGAAACTGCTCTCTGCATTATATTCAAAATGGCATCAAACTGTACACCAGTAAAATCTTGCAGATTTGATGTTAAATCACTCCAACGCCCATTATTCAAGTGATGTTGACATTTTCTACTACATGTGGGAACATAGAATTTATTATGTATTAATAACATTTCTCTTATTACTCTGGGTACTAATAAACATTGTTGTTCCCGGTATCCTGAAAACAGACAACTCAATGAAGTGACTACAGCACGCTTATATACTGATGACTGTATCTTAGGTATAACAGGTCTTGAAGGCTGAACAGGTAATAGACCAGCGGGAAATGGTGGTGGTACTGGGATCACTGGTACAGACTCTGTTGGTTCTACATCAATTTGTTCAATTGATGACCGATTCGCATCATGTAACTGTTGCCTTTGCACTTCCCTATTAGCTGCTCGCCAACAGGCAGCACAAACTCTTGAAATTCTTGACACCTATAAAAAAAAGATAAGTGAACTTGAATTTAATGAAAAACCATCTACAACTATTTTATGCAATAGAAATATATTTCTTATAATAATAATAATAAATCATTTATCTGACAAGATATGGTAAATTATACAGATCTCAAAAATATAACAAATACACAAGTAGCTTCAGTATTATCCAGAACTCAATCTTTAAAAACTATATATATTATTTATATACCATAGTCATGATTGAGTTAGTTATTATATAATCAATTTCATTAATATGCTACATGACAATTGTGCAATGTAAAAAAAAATGTCAAACTCATGTTTCAGTTAGTATTGAAATCAATTTAAATAAATTATTATTAATATAACATTTCAATCATGCAATGCAAAAATAATAATAATGTCACAGTCATGTTTTAATTAGCATTGAAATCAATTTTAATAATTTATTATTGATAATAATATCTTAAACTATACCTGATGTGCTGGAGTCCATCTAAGAATAATATTTCTTTCTGGACAGTGTAGTGAAACCCTGTACGATCGACTTCTTAATATGGATTTTCCACAACCAAAACAGACTTGTTGATGGCCATATTGTGGTGCAGGTACTTCTTCGGTGGTCAATATCTATAACAAGTCAAAAATATTTGTATTTATTTGAACATGTGAATGAAATTAAAACATTATCTCACGGTTGCGATTGTATAACGATATATTTTTAGTAATATAAGTAAATAATTACTTACAGAATCAGGTGCGATCCATGAGCTTAAAACATTAAGCATTGAATTGGATAGCGTGTCCAAAGAATGTACTGGCTGTCGTCGTGGCACTGATATACAACAGTTAATACAACGTCGTTGCATACTGCCTGCGTTTTCTTGTGTAACACCAGATGCCATTGTAAACAAAAATAATTACAATAAACTAAGAGTCCAAATATCTCTGTCAGAATTTACGAGTCCAATGCTCTCTTTCCCAAAAAAAAGTTATTAACGGAGGATTACTCAACTCAACATAAAAACTATTCTGCCACAATAGACCACTGAAAACACAAATTCAATTCAAAATTGAAAACTGTAGTTAGTCACTCGGAACAAACAACAAACACGTTGACAACAAGTTGACAGCTACCTACTTCACTTGCCTATG